GAAAAATGTTTTTTTCTGGTACCTTGAAACTTCTTCAGTAAACTCAAAATAGTTCAGATTCCTGAGTCTCTAAATTAAAATACAAAATTATTTAATTGTGATGTTCTGGGTAATTTTATAAATAAAATACTCTTTGACTCCAGAACATTTTTTCAGTTAATCAGGCATAGTTAACCTCTAAATTGACTCTAGGGATTGTTGCCATTATTAAAATTCTCAGCTCTTATTTATTTAATTATACCATAGGCAACCAATAATACACTCTTGCATGACATCATATATCTTTAATTTTGAGAAAGCTCTAACCATATATAACTATTTAAAGACATTGCTGTGTATATGACGGACCTTGATTCTGAAAGAATTAGTATGTTAGAAAGATCACTGTACATAATATGTTTTAAAATATTTACCTTTGTATGTTTCCTGCTTCTCCTTCGTGATGTTTGTGCTATAACGATTCTAATGTTCTAAAAAAAAACGATTAACTGTCAAAATTACAATTTGTTTTAATTTCCAATAAAATTAGTTTGTTTTTCTGCTTCATCTGTCTCTTTTCCCTTCACCGTTCCTCACAAGAGTTATCAGTTATATAAAAATGTTTAATTTAATTTCCAGTTAATCGCCATGCCACCAGGGTTCGGAAAACTACATGTTACTTTTAAAAACTACATAAACTACATTACATGTAGTTAATGTAGTTTATGTAGAGGGTGTAGTTTATGTAACCTATGTAGGTAACTTTCAAATATCAGAGGTTTGAGGTGACGTTATAATAAGTTGAAAAGCTTTAGAAAACACAATAAATTTAAGAAAACAGGAGAATAAATATGGCTTTAAATAAAATATTCACACATCATATTATTTAGACCCCTCATACAAAAGCAAAGAGTGATTATTCATAATATCAATACATAGTTTATTAACGTAGTTTTCATGTAGTTAATGAACGGGAAAAGCCGTAGTTTTTGAAGAAAAACTACACGTAGTTAATTAGGTAAATTACGTCTTAATTAACTACTTCCGAACCCTGCATGCCACACCACTAATTATTATTGGTAAAGGTGTGGATCCGGTGGCTGACCTTGAAGCCCATATTTGCTGCATTTGATCAACGATTCTACGCAAGCGCACATCGTCGATGTTGCCACATTGCAGTTTATTTTCGAATTATTTTTAGTCAAAAACAAATGTTTTTTGACTGTTAATCAGTAATAATAATATTTCAAATTCTACAATTAATTTTATAATTTCAGATTTACTTGATATCAAAAATTAAGGTAAGAAGGATAATGGAGATTGTGAAGTTAAGGTATTATAATTGTAATCGGAGTTCTAAGTAATATATAATAATGTAATAATAATATATTTATTTATATATTTACATTATAATTAAAAATTATCATTTACGGATTTTTTCTTATTAGTTTTAAACCTATTAGAATTATTTTGTATCATCAATATGACACATTTATTGCAGCCATTGTAGGTATATATTTTATCGAAGAATGCTGATAGGATTAAAATAAGTTTTATGCTTTATCTTTTTCTGTTACTGTTTTTCTGTTACTGTGTGTACTTAATATCCTGTATATTCTTTTCTTAATTTACTGTAATTTCTTTCCTATATAATACCAATATCTTGATAATATGGTGAAGATTCATTTCTGATCTTATTAGACTAACTTAAAACTTAAGTTAGTTTGTGATTTATATTAAGATATTTCTTATAATTTTTTTATGTCTTAATACCTCTACTACATATTATACTTTGTGGTGTGGAGAATAAATGATAAGATATCTTAATACCTGCAAATCCTTTCCATTAGGAAAAATATTGTTTATAGATCATATTATATGGTAATAAGAAAATCACATAAATTAGGTGTAAGATAGAAAAATCTTGTTGCAGAAAAATTAATGCAATATAAGCAGATACAAAATAAGATACCTATTAATACTGCTCACTTTACAGTTATAATTACGGAGACCTTTTAAGGCCTACGTAGTTTTAATGGAATGTTATAAAAATCTATTATGAACATGATATGGTGCTACAGCATTTAAAAATTCAAAAAAGAAGAAACTTGGACACATCCCTTAATTTTGCGAATTTTTAATAAAGCACTTTACTAAACGTAGTATAATAAATCTAAGAGCAATTAGATTAGAGTTTTATTTCTATTTAATTTTATTGACTATGAAAATACATAATAAGCGTTCACGTATTGTGTGAATATTAAAATAATACCAAAATAATATCGTATGATCGAAAAAAGTGGCGACAGCGATGACTATGAAATAAAGATCGTTGTCATTTTATATGGAAAATGTCATCGATCCTCATTTCACAACCAATTGGATGCCGTTTTTTCGATCACGGTATACATTGACAAAAAAACGCTGAAAAATACAATATTTGTTTTCTTCTGAAAATAATTCCAAAATAACCTGCAATCTGGCAACATCGACGATGTGCGCATGCGTAGTATCTGTGACTATATGCAGCAGAAACTCGTTTCAAGGTCAGCTATCGGATCCACACCATTACCGTCTTTGCCTATGTTGCTATATGTTTTTTAACAAAAAATTAAAAAAATTGATGTTTCCGGTTTTCGAAACAAATTTTCGCGAAAAAAAACTCATAGACGTGTTCTGGCGTCGAATACCACCAGACGACACTAAGGCCCGTATTTATAGTTGCATCTCGAGACGCCAAGACGGTCTTGGGCTCTCGAGAGCGGAATCCACAGAATACACAAGCAAAGGTCATTTTGGAGATTGCGATTTTCATTTTGGAGATTGTCATTTTGGATAGTTTATGTTATCTGTGGATAGCACGGGGGTGTCACTTGTATGGGAAAACAGGCAACAGTCAAATTTAAACGTGCCAGGACCAACGACAAAGCAACATCTGCCAGGCATTGTGCTTTCTTTGTCACTCATTAACTTCAATTATGATACCGCCATTTTGGCCATTTTGTCAACAAAGCTGGCCGGGCTGTCCTGGCAAGTGATTTAAAAAGCAATTTTGCTTTTTACAATATTAAATTACCATTTGGATATATTTAATGCGATTATTCAGTTAACTGGTAAGTCAGAAATTACACAAATACTTTATTCGTAAATACAACTAAGATGTAAACGTATTTTTGTATTTTAGATTTCAACTCTTGCAAAGACCCGCCGATAGAACTTTGCCTGGCAGCGTACCTGTTTAACTAAACGTATTATTTCCTGATAATAATATCAAAACACGTAAAGTACCTCTATAATTTATGATGAAAAATGATTTTTGATTATGTTTTTATATTATTTAAATACTTTCTAACCTCAAATAATAGTAAGATCCTTGTTTATATCGCTTTTTAGCCGTTCAAAACTGTATTGTCTTCAAAATGTTTACAAAACAAACAGTTATTAAAAAACAATGTCCTTTTAATCTGATTTATACCTCAGAAGGATGCCAGTAAAATTTTATTAAATCAACATTATATTATTTGGCCGTTAATGTCGCAAAAAAGAGACATTATTGCCTTAACTTAAATTTTCTTTTACTTCTCCTGACAATGTTCTCTATATTCTCTATTTTGAGTTAGTAAACTTTGAACGAGATGTTGCGATATATAAAATACATAATATATCCAAGGGTATGATCTGATAAAAGTATTTTTGATGCATTTTTTGGTTGTTTATGCGCGTTGGCTTGGTTTATGTTTTTTATTCAGCTTATATTTATTTGGTATAACAGTTTTTTTGCCTTTGGAATGGCATGCATTGAGGCTAGATAGTTTCATTAGATCATTAAAGAAGGAATTTAAATTAGCATCATATTTTGGTTTTTTATTCTGTTGTTGCTCTACAAAATGTTAATATTTATGTGTATAACATTACTCTTTCTGTGTATAATAATACTTATGTGTATAATATTCATTTAATGGTGCCCTTCTTGCTTGTTGCTGTTGTTGCAACTCAGAATTTAAATTAACCTGAGGCAGTAGGTAGAGCCTCATCCTCCAATATTTTCCTATGTAAATACTGCAAGTGGACAGTGGACAATTTTATCATAAACTTTAACATCTTGTTCTTTAAAATGAAACTGCCATACCTTATCTGTAGATTTCAAAGCAATATCTAAATGCTTTTGACCATCGCTGTAATCTAATTCTTGTCTGAAAATCAATACCTAATATTATCCTGATGATTTTGATTTTTGATAGATTATTAAAATACAGCACTTACAGTTAACTATATTTCTTGAAAGTACCTACAATTTTATTTATTTCCTACTTTTACTTCTTTAAAAAAATGCCAACAATTTGTGCATGTCTGTCAAACTTTAAAATCATTAAAAATAAATTTTATTCATTAACTTTATAAAACGGATTGTAAAAATATACTTTGTCACATGTATGTCAATAATCTTACGAAAAATGTTTACTACACTTTTGATTGACTCTAATTTTTACATATAATACAAATAATACAATACCGAATTATATTATGTATTTTAGTGGTATTTTACATACCGTAGGCTTCGCCTTTGCTCTTTATTTTTCCATAAGCTATTCAATCAACTTCGCACCACACACACTTTAACCATTGTTAAATAATAAATAAAGCACAAAATATTGATAAACAATAATTATTTTATATTCTAAAAAATAAAAATAAAACTTTTTTTGGGTAATGTTTGGTCAAAGAGTAGAAGTATCGGTTTGGTTTGGTTATATTTATTTTTATTCTCTTATCTATGGTTACTTTTCATTTTTAGATTTATGCGTTTTTAGCGCCACTGTGGTCATTTGGCGAACCCTTATTCTTCCCATTTTGTGACCACTTTTTCAATAAAAGTCCCATAAGAGTTATTTCTCCTTACCTCTACACTCCATACTCTGTAACAAGCAGAATCATATACTAAATTATATATGATATTGGATCTTTGTCAATCTTTGTGCAGAGCTTTGTGTTTTTTATTGACAGTTATTCAGAAATTCATGGTTATGTTTTATTTATTTTCAAATGTCAAGATAAGGAAGCAATTTTCCTTTTCCATTTTACTAGAAAGCAGTATGAATCCATATCCATATGTTTATTGAAAATATGAAATATTGGCATAATAATTGGCTTCCTGATAAATATAAAACGTCCACTTTGTAATACCATACAGAATCGCACTGGAAATTCACCCCAAACACCGCCTAAAATATTAAGTTTTAATACTAAAAGACTAATTATTGAAGAATCTCAATATTATGAATTCAAGAAGAACGAGAATTAAAGGCGTGGCCAATATTCCACAAAGAAAAAAAAACACAAATGAAGCTGATCAAATTGCAAAGGAAGAGAGAAATGAAGAAAGAATAGTGGTAGATACTGGAGCAAAATGTTTGACAGAAAATATATTGGAAAAAACTAATACAGATGTAAATAATCAATCTGTTTATATAGAAAATATAAAGAAAGAGTCGCCAATTGTGGTTTCTATTAAAGTTGACAATATAGGAAAAATAAAGAACGAGTCACTAACTGATGTTTTCCTTAACAGTGACAATGTAGAAAAAATTAATAAAGAGTCATTAATTGAAGTTTACCTTGACAATGACAATGTAGAAAAGGTAAATAAAGAGTCACTAACTAAAGTTTCTCTTAACAGTGATGATATAGAAGAAGTAAATAAAGAGACACTAATTCAACCTCCCCTTGTGAGTGATAATAATCATCTTTCAAATCAAGAAGTAAAAGAATCTTTGCAACAGTCACTTACATGTATTGAGACAAAAAATAAATTGAATTATCAGTGTGGCCTTCCAAGACGGAAGCTCTGGAAGCCAAATATAAATCTTTCTAATGAAAAATCATTAGTAAGTAACAGACATGCTAAAGAAGATGTGAATAATATAATTGACATTATTGCTGAAAATAAAGAACCAGACAATTTACCTCTTCATAAAACTGAAGGTTTGTCAGAAGTGGAGATACATTCTGTAAATGATACATCAAATGAATCAAATTTATTCTCTGTGGATATATCTCGACCTTCAGTTATAAAATTCTGTATGCACTTTCAATAAGATATTTTTTTATTAAAAAAACGTGAAATTTAATTTAATTGTTACATGAACTTTATCAGATTCTACTTAGAATACCTACATATTTTTTTTAGCAAATAATATAAAACATGTTCAATTTGAGGCCCATAATAATGTATCAGACTTAGATTACCCTATACCACCATCAAGTCCAAGCAAATTTAACAGAAGCAGAATAAAGGCAGTGCCAAGACTAAGCCAGAGAAAAACTAGCTTTAGTGCTAGTGAATCAGAAGATGAGAGCAAAAAGTATGGAAGAATAAGAAATAATTCAGTAAGTCACAAGTGTTTTTATTTTAGTTAATTTATATGTTCATTTGTTCAATAGGTCTGTTCAGTTGCTTCAACAAATTGCCCTGAATCATCCACACCTTATGAGACTGTGCCTCCAAAAGAAGTTATACAAGTTATTCCAAAGAAAATTATTAGGACTGATCAGTCTAAAAGATTAGCTGAGGCTAGAAAAGAATTTTATAAAAAGTTTAGGTCAAACAATCCAGAAAAGAACAAATTAAAAATGATTGATTTAATATTTTATAATCCAACAACGAATCCAATGAGGTATGTAAAATATATAGATCACTGATATGTGTTTAAAGTTATTAAGAATCATTTATAATAATCATAATTTTATCATTCAGTCCAAAAAATGTGGCTCAAGTCTCCGAAGAAAGAGAAAATGATAACTTAGAAGATAAAAACAATTCAGAGCAAAAGAATCAAGAGAATGATGACCCGGTAAACAAAAATGATTCAGAAAATGATGTATTGGTACCACAAATTAAAATAGGACCCTTTGGGGAAATTATACTAGATGAAAGAAGTCTGATTGTTGAAAATACTGAAATTGTTAAACAAAAAGAAAAAATGCTAAATTCAAAGTTAGTAGATGGTAATCTTGATATAGGCTATGGAATATATCGTAAGGCAGGAAGATCAAAGGGCTGGAGTCACAAGGAGACTTTAAGATTCTATAAAGCCCTTAATCTTATTGGAACTGACTTTACTGTTATGGCCGAATTATTTCCTAAAAGGAGTAGAAGAGAATTAAAGTTAAAATTCACCAAAGAAGAAAAAATGAACAGACATTTAATTGATAAAGCTATAATGCAGCCGTGTAACTATAATTTTACAGACCTAAAAAAAGAAATTCAAATGGAAGAAGAGGAAGAGGCAGCTATTCAAAAATTAAAAGAAAGCGAACTTGAACAGAAAAAGAAAGAAAAACAGTTCAAGAGGGGTAGAAGCAGAAGAAAAGGTTAGTATAAAAAAATAGTACTTTTAATTAACATTTTGTCTTATTTTATCCTTTTAGATAATGAATTGGCTCATACTAAATCAAGTGATAAACTAAAGACTTCTGATCAAAATATAGAGAAATCTAAAAATTACAAAGTTTCAACACCAAAGAAACTAAAACTAAAGTCTTTAAATATAAATGCAGTATTGCAAAGTGATAGTGATGCTGACATTTCTGATTTAGATACACAGAGTGAAGAAGAGGAAGTTGCCTTGCCTATTTTACAACCGACGCGTTCAGGTAGAATGCCCAAATTTACTAAGAGGTATTCTAATTTGGATGAAATAGAAAAACCTGCTAAAAGAGGAAGATTGATTTCTTTGAATTCATATCCAGAGCTAAGCTCTGACAAACTTGTACCAGGATCAGTGGTTATAACAGCTGAAGAAGACTGTGAAAATACCTATAAAGTATATATGGTAACACCTGAAAAAAATTTAACACCACTGGATTTAGACCCACTTATCGTGGCTAATTTGGTTAAAGAAAGGCAGCAAACAACAGATCAAGATATTTCAGCAAACACAATCATTGAAAATAACTTTACTATTCCAGCAAATGATCAGATTCAAAATGACAGTTCAGCAGAAAATGTTGGAACTTATATATCATTATAAATGTTTGTATAATATAAATATGCTTATTTATTTAATTCCTAGAAAAAACATCCCCTAGTAATAGTTTTATTCCCTATTATCTGTTAGAACAATAAGTTAATTGAGAAAAGCACAAAGTTTTAACAGCCGTACACCTGCTTGTGTATGAATTTTCTGTTTAAAGCTTTTCAGGTCAAGGCGACCACCCATCCGTCTACCGGTTTCGGAGTTATACTCCATCATCAGGATAACTTTGGTAGTCTTCCTCGACCTAGCAAGCTCCTAACAGAAAATGCACATTACGTATGTTACAGTACTTGTCTATGGCGAGATCTTAACAAAGTTGTAGCTTCAACCACCTAGCTGTTTGAACTCCGAAACCGGTAGACGGATGGGTGGTCTTGGATGGATGCACAAGAAACAAAAATTTGTTTGCGCAACAAAAGAAAGTTTTTTTATTCTTTTTATCTTTAAAAAAATTAAAAAAACAATTTTACAAATCATATTCTTAACCATACAGGATATTTAATTCAAATATCTTTTCTAGACAGCTCAAGTACAAGTTTAGATATACAATTATTATTTAAATTAGGCTACCTCCAAAACTTCACATGGTAACCATTTTGAACTCTCAATGGCATCCCACAAATTGCAGTCTTGATCTGTTTTTTCTCTGTTTAACTTTTCCACATCCAAAGATACAGTGTGCTCTAAAAAATAATTATCAATAAGAAGATACACAATATAATAATTATTACCTATTAGTTCTAAATCATCCTCCTTCTTAACATCTTCTTGGGGAGCTGCATAGGCCCCATGTTGTACTGCAGTCGAATTTTGGTCATAATAATTCTAAATTAATAATACACAGTTAATTTGATGAAGTAAAATGAAGAAACATGAATGTATACCTTTACCTGTTGCCAGTTTGCTGCATAATTTTGCCAGTAGGATGAAGGATCATAATATTGATTATAAGTACTACTAGTATCTGTTGTAGAAACTGATGCACTTCCATTAGATGTTGGAGTATCTCCAACACCTTTAGGTTTAGGAACCGCATTACAGATCTTTAAGGCTTTGGTTCCCAGGCCAATGTAACCATTCATTGTAACCAAACTGTCTTTCATCTCATCCTCACTTCCAAATCTAACAAATCCATATCCCTTACTGAAACCACTGTTGTCCAAAATAACTAAATAAATAAAAAATAATATAACGGAATTAGTAATACTTAAATAAATTACCTTTTGCTGTCTTAATTGTATTATATTTTGAAGAAAATACCCTGTATAAATTGTAATCATCAACATCAGGACTTAGATCTCCAACCCAAACAGAAAACTCTCTATCGACAATTTGTCTGCCTGGGTTATTACTGGCATTGTTTAATCTAAATCGAACAGGTGGAGTTGTACCTGGAATAGGCTTCGAGTTAAGCTTGTGCATAGCATCAATTGCCTCATCGTCATTAGCAAAATGAACAAAACAATATCCTGCCGGTTCGCCTGTGAATTTGTTTCTCATAACTTTAACGTTTAATGGAGTTTCACCCATTTTTCGAAAAGCGTTTAATATAAAGGTTTCGGTCATGTAGGGCTCCAACTAAAAACAACTGTTACAAATTGTCCAAAAATCCACATTATAATACATACACTGCCCATCCATAACTGACAATGCACCATGTTAGTCATCTTGATGGCTGGAATCAATTATTATCTTTTATGCAACGTAAAATTACAGTATAAGATAATTATACTTTTCCAAAATTTGTTTTTTTTTTCAATGAATACACCTTAGAAAACACCTTTTAGAAAACACCAAGACCCAAGACCATCCCAAGACAACATGCAAGACTACTCCGCATTTGAGGTTAGGTAGTAACTGCATAGTTAAATGAAACAAGTTTAGATTGGAAAGTGCCCATAAGGACAATGTAAACCATAGAATAACTAACTGAAAGAAATGAAAACTCCTATGTTAAAGCCTGGAAACGCGCTCGACGCGATCCAAGCGGGCTACTGGCAGAACTAAAAGTTCGCGCCATATTTTTAAATGGACCTTTACTGCCAGTTCATAAGTTTTTTACTTATATTTGGTAATTTCAATCTAGATTATGAACTTATTTGTAACAAAACATTTTACAAAATAAAAATAATGTATTTTGGTACAAATAAATTAATAATCTAGGTTGAAATTATCCCTGAAATTAGAATAAAACACGAAAAATTTGTAACTTGATTATTTTATTATAACATTGTTAATAAAATTACATATAACACATTCAACACTATACAAGTATATATAAAAGTTATCAGAATTTATACAATCAGTTATAAGTAATTATAAAAAAGGTTATAAATTATAAATAAATAATTTATTATATAAAGACATATAGTTACCGTGAATATGGTATAACTTTAATCTCAACTTTAATGACCTATTCAAATAGAAACATCTTACAATTCACATTATATAATACACAAAGCCAAGGGACAAAATTGTTATTAAATCTATTCTCGATGACTCGAAGCATTTTTTTTTCAAATAAAACAGGACATATAGGGCTTATAAATAATACAAGGGTATAGAAAATATATAAATAAGTAAATACAAATATATTTTCAACCTAATGATTAATGATTATACTCGTTTAAATAAATAAATGATCTTTTTAAAATTACTTGTTTGTCTTTGCAAATTTGTATATTTAATATTTATCTAAAAGCGTACACTTACATAAATTACTGCACAACCTTTAAAATTAAGCTTTTAATATGTTATACAAATTCTTGATTCGATATAAATACACTTAAATAAAACTTTAAAATTAATGATCTTCCAAATTTCTGAGACAGCCATTTTGTTGAAAGAATTTGTTTTGATTATGAGAAATTTCATAAAAATTATCACAGGGATTAATTAATCTTATATATGAAACTACTTGGCTTTTAAATTTCACAATCCTATCGTCCAAAATACTCTAAATTCGCAAAAATCCGTAAATATTCCCATAAAAACAAATCACAATTCACTTCCACTTCACAGAAACTGACAGACATTGCCAGATATGGAATGACGTTTATTTTTCAATTTATTTTACTGATCTAACTGATCCGGGTCACTTAGAAATTAAATTTTTATTAAATTATTTAATTATAATTGTTTCTGGCGAAAGCAACTTCATATCAATGTTTATTCATAGGGTAACAAAGCACATCGCTGTAAAATTATCAACATTTTATATAAATATTTATATTTTTCAACTACTCCAACTACTCCAATTACTCCACAGAGAATCAAACGAATTGTTAATTAAACTATACTCTGTGTACTCTGTGGATGACTTGATAAAATGCCAGTGAAATTAGTCCCTAGATGAATATCTAGGGACTTTGGATGAAATTTCTACGCAGCGCCATCTATCCCTCTACTGGCAGAAACTCCGCCGTGTTTCCAAAATTCAAATGGCAGTTTCATCCGCCTGATGTAAACACTATTTGGCGCTATTCTTGCAACGGTCGCGACCCAAAACTTTTGAAAATTTCGGAGCGGTTCGGCTTTTTCCGGAATTATATCGCCCAATATTGTTTATTCAAATTTATTATTATTTTCGTTTAATTTTATAAATAAAATACAGTGTGTTGCATACAATAAACTTTATTTTATATAAGGACGCATGTATGAAATACCTATGAAACATTGGAAACCGACGTTATGCCACGATCCACGATGGTTTTTGCAGTTCACAGTTCACAGCACAGCTATTTATGTTTTTAATGCCACTTTTTCAAAATTATCACCGGTTGGAGTAAATAAAACTTGAATTAAACTCACAAGATAGCAATAAAAACTTTGAAAATGGACGCTATAAACACTTTTCGAAATTTCTTTAATGAGAGCGGTTTAGATTTTGAAAGATTATTATGATTTTTAAAGATTCTGACTTTGACAAGAGAAAATTATTTCTGTTGTTTATAAAGGTATGATCGATAGCGGCTTCCCAATTTCATTTAGTTTTGCGCATACCACCTGTGACGTCCATACTACAAAAAATATTCATATTGTCCAATTGCCTTCAATAAAAGACCTAAAATAGGGAAGGAATTAGGACATAGCAAAAGTTATGTCCAAAATCATCGAACTTGACGCATTTAGTAATTATTTTCCACATTTGTGCATAATCATCTGTTTAACGAACCCCAGAAATTGGCGCGCGGAGCTTGCCGACCAATGGTGCCGTTTATCACCTGTGACGTAGTGACCAACCTGCGCAATATCATACCTTGTATTCTTTGTATCATGTTAGCGACCGCTATAGCAGCGTCAGATCGCGTATAATGGTCGCGACCCAAAATTTTTACGGGCTTTCCAATCTAAACTTGTTGCATTTATCCATAGATAAAAGACTTATACTCAGGAGTTCGGAAGTAGTTAACTAAGACGTAATTTACCCCGATTAACTACGTGTAGTTTTTTCAAAAACTACGTCTTTTTCCCAGATTCATTAACTACATGAAAAGCCACGTTAATAAACTATATTGATATTATGAATATTTTCATGAGGTGTAATGAGAGATAATATGATGTAAATATTATATTTAAAGCCATATTTTCTTGTTTTGTAAGCTTTCATTATGTGGTTTTAAAGCTTCAACTTATTATAACCTCACCTCAAACCTTTGACATTTGAAAGTTACATACATAGGTTATAAACTACAACCCTCTACATAAACTACATTAACACATGCAAGCCATAGTTTATGTATTTTAAAAGCAACATGTAGTTTTCCAGGCCACAGCACATACTATTAAACATTTATCTATGAGTAACTGGTAGTCATAGAGAAATGCTGGTAGTAACCAAAGAATCTCAGGGTGCAGCCACACTTTCCTAAAAACGGCGTATCGGCGTATCGGCGTAATGACCTTGAATAGATCTCCAGTAATTCTATTGGCTGAAACATTCATCTGTCAAGAGGCTCTGTCAAATTTCAGCCAATAGAAATTACTGAAGCCTCGGGTCGTTGCAATTACCGATACATATACCATTTTAAGGATAGTGTGGGTTGCAGCTCACTCCTCAATTAACTAGAAAGAAGTGTCAACTCTGTGTTGTTAGGGGGGTGACAGTAGGCAACCACTTGGAAATTTGGAAACAGTTCTGGCGCAGTCTTACCAGGCAAGCGCTATAGACTGTGGCTCTAGACAAAAATCTGGTCTATTTCTATGATTCAATGTAGCTATTAAAAGATCAGCCTACGGGCGGGATTTATGACGTCACGCTAGTTAGATATAACGGATTAATAAATATGTTGTAGAATACATGGAAAACATAATTATTCCTCAGATTTTTGGTTTGTATTTTAAAAATGATATAGTTTAAATGAAATATACATAATATACAGTTAATAACTACAACATATATACCTATTTATAGTAATAAATACTTTGGCAAATAAACTATGAACCATACAAATGCAGCAAATGTTTTACAATATACAAATAATGTATAGGTACATAAGATATTGGGTAAAATGTAAATATATTTTAAATTTTGGGGTTTGAAAATCGATCTAATTTAACAAAAAATATTCAATATCTACTAATAGTCCCGTATTATTATTTGCATTCACAAAATTTATATGTATATTTTGCAAGTATCAATGTTCGAAAAATTATATTTACAAATAATACAATATCATCTCACAAAAGGCGTCAGCGATGGCTATGAAATGAAGATCGCTGGCAGTTTATATGTAAAATTATTCTAAAATTTTTGATTTTCTTAGGATTTTTAGGTTCGGGAAAAACGCTGATTTAAGTTTTCATTTGGATTTTCATTATTTTTATTTGGTTTAAAAAAAACGTTTCGGCTAACTATAGCCTTCATCAGTGTTGTGTCATATGAAAAAAATAGTGTCGAATATAATCCAAAAAATTACATATAAAATATTCACACAACATAATGTTTACTGCAATTAATAAACTAATATAAACTTATCAAAAGATGACTACATTTTTTTAAAATTATTAAAACAACAACACTAAAATTATCTACATTGACTATAGGTGCGCAGTAAACATTATGTGCGTGGTGTATTTTATATACGTTTTTGGACCTCGACTACCTGTTAACAATGGAAGACTATAGCCAGACCGTTAATTACCAAAGTTTTCCGTATCTCTACTTTCAGGCTGATCGTTTTTGAGCAATTGAAAGCAAAAATTTACACAAGGTAAATTATGATTATTGAACTATTATTAGCCTACAGCCTATATTAATTATCACAAGATGAACAGAAATGCGTATTGCTCACATAGGTACCTATTATGTATTTTCTTCTATTTCTCTGATTAACCTCGAACCTCCTGAACAGCCCTGCAAAAACCGGAAACGGAAATAAATTTCATAAAATTGAAATAGTCATGTCAATGAAGTGTCTATGTCATGTCAAATCATGTCAAATGTCCCAGCCGCCATATCTGAAAATTAGTTACCCAGGCAGCCACGCTGTTTCCATAATTTAACATTGACTTGACACTTCTTCTTGTATTTATTATTTTATGGTTAAGTCCCAGAGTTAAATCCATAAGTTAAATCGTGGAAACACGATACGCCACCGAAAGCCTTCGTTGTCGTCTGGAGAACTAACTTTCCAATTGACAGGTTGACATGAAAAGGACATGATGGCTTAATTTTCATTTCCGTTTCCGGTTATTCAATGGCGGGCCCTCTTTCAGTTCAAATGTGTATTTTTCTTTTTTCATAAATAAAACCAAAAAATAATTTATTCACATATATTTATTTGAAATATGGAACAACGTGACTAAATAAATATAAAAATATAGAGGATTGTATTGTTTCAATACCAGTTAGTTAATTATATGTACGTTTTACGTAAATTA